CAGTAACCGTAGCTCAAGACAACTGCTCTGCACCTTTTCTCGACAGAGAAACAAAAAAGGTGGGGGGAATAGGCGCACTGATTATAGGCTCACTCTCACGCTCATCAATAGGCTACTCAATACACACCTTCTCAATAACGCGAGATGATCGCGTGCCAGTCGCGCGACTGCAGAACAGCAGCGGCAGTGCGGATCGACGTGCCTTCGTTCGGTGCTGCATTGCAGTGGTATTGACACAATGTGCGTAAAAGTGGACCATGTTGCATAATCAAAAGCGACTCTTTCTTGAAACTGCGCTTTGTAAAAACCCGAGGCGTGGATTGGAGTGGATGGGGGAGGGGTGGGAGTGTAACAGAGCATTCTTGACCCAGCGTGTCGCAGTGAAACGTGAGAGAGGGGAAGGGCAATTTCACAGCAAAAACAAGCAGCAAACACACTCCACAGACTTAATGAGGTTATCTGTCACTGGATAACCACGCAATGACAGGTACCTATGGCAAGCCGTTTTTAGGTGTTTCTTTAACTTAGCCTAATATCGTAGTGCTTTTTTAGAGTACTTCAAATGTGACTAGTATTTTTTCTTCACATTATCTCATAGTGGGCTATTAATTGTCTACTAGTCATTATCTAAAATGGAACATAACTATTTTGTTGTCACAGGTAACAAATTGCACACGTTTATCTTTGAATTATGAAGATTTACACTGAAAAAAGTGTAAAAAGGAATCAATTTTAATTCGTTACAGATACATGCATTTTTTTTTTTCTCAAGTTACTTATGGTTTGGTTCAGACCTTAAACTTTTAATAATTATCAAACTCATGTATTCTCTTCAAGACAAAAATATTAATAAAAAAGATTTAGCCTAAAGTAAAATATTACTTTAGACAAAACATTTAGGCCTATTTAATGTAGCTCAATACATATTTTTTTTCTTTTTCCAGCTTAATTTCATCATAAACAAAAGCTGGAGAAAACAAAATAAAATTTAACTTAAAATAAAACAAAAAATTTATTTAATTTAGTTTTCTTATTGACAACTTTGAAAGACCTTTATTTATTTGTGACGTCTTTTTAAAATAGCCTATGCAAAATATTGTCTGTTATTTTCACCAAACAGAAAAAAAAAAATAAAACAACAATAATGTTAGTATATTCTGAACAAAAACATTCCAATGTTAAAAAAAAAATACTTTTTATAAAATGTTTTTTTTTTACACTAAATACATGTCACAGTCATTTCACATTTTTCAGTGTAAGATATCAGCTATTCATTTCTAACTAGTATATTATTTCCTTTTTTGCTGTTACCTCCAGTAAATATTAATTCAGTTCCAGAATTATTGAAATACTATTGAAATACTTTGCTGATAAAAAGTAAGATTAAATTTACAAGTAAGACCGTCCTAGTTACTAAATAAAAATAATTATTTGTCACTGTTGGGAAAATGACTAAGTAATAGTGATGGAAAGTAGAAGTTATAAGTGTATAGTGCGTTAGGGATACCATTCACACTTGGAAGTAGGCCTACAGGTTTATTTTTCACCTCATCTCATTTTGGAGCTTGAGTTAAACCAGTCTTGCAAAATGTCTTTTCCCATGCTGTCCCCTATGCAGACAGTCATAACCTGTTAAAATTGTTCTGACCTGCATTAATGGGGAATGAATGCCAGGGCGAATAACTCTTGAGGGACACTCTACACAGTGTAAAGGAGATGGCAGAGATGAATATGACCTGTGCATGATATTTATAAGACATTTCAAACACATAATTCTCTTTCTCTTATTCTTCCAGTTCTACAATAATCAGTCAGCTCTCCTCTCCCCGCTCCCTCCTCTTTTTGTCCACTCAGCTCTCTGCGCTGAGAGCGAATAAATCAGTGTTTCCCATTTGGCTGCAGTCCAGAAGTGATAAATGCTCACAGAATAAAAATTCAGCAGAAACAGTTGGGCCGTAATACATCCTCTCTCGCTCTCTCTCGGTCCCTTAAATATTGATCTACATTCCAACATGATCAATGCGACTGATGATCTCAGTGGGCGTTTCTGTCCAATGCTTGATATAATGACCCGCTATACCTCCTTTGTCAAGCTCAGACATATATCTGCGTGATGAAAGAAATGAAGAAAAGTGGATGGTTGTTCATTTTTAAACAGAAAAAAGGACGAACTCACATTTTTGTGAAGCATGTCCTCCTGAACTGCTTATACTCCTGTCCACTTTTAAAAATAAAGGTTCTTTATTGACATTTTTGGCTCCATGAAGAAAATTTGACATCCATGAAGCCTACACAAAAGGTTCTTTAGATTGGAAAAAAAGTTTTTAACATGTTATTAATGTCATTTTTGGCTCCCTAGTTGTTAAAAAAAAGAAAGAACATTGTTTTGGTTGTGCTTCGTCTCTGCATGACTGTGCAGAAATTGACCCTTCACAATGTAATGCTTTACAATAAACGAAAATAAAAAGGAGAGCTATACATGTGGCATAACCGCCCTTTTTAAAACCTTTATTGTTAAAAGTGTACAAAAGAATTATACTTTTCAGTTTGGTAAACATACTGTAAACCCTCAGCACACCGAAATACCAAACCTTTTCATGGGTCAGTTGCATCAGCCCAGTTTTTAAAACACTACAGCAACAGGGAGGTGTTATGACTGTAGGGAGAACCTTTGCGCACTGCAGTGTTGAGCGAGGGTGTGTTTTAATCATGCAGAGTCATGTGGTGTGTCTTCTGCTTTAAGATGTCCCCAAGGTCTTACTGGATATTGATTCTATCTGGTGTCAGACAGCTTTTCGATCTGATCACTCTAAGTGAAAAAAAATGTCCTTAAAGGAGTAGTATGCCCTTTTACGAAGACTTTGTTTTTGGGGTGTACTAAAATATGTTTTTGTGCTTGATTGTTCAAAAAACACTTTTTTCAGATTTTACATTATTACAGCACCTCTCTCCACAGTCTTGCTTGAACACTGATTTCAATGAACCCCCTTCTTATGAAATATGAAATGTGTTGTGATTGGTTAGCTGGCCCAGTGTGTTGTGATTAACACACTGTAAAAAAATATTGTTGGTTTAACTTAAAAAAACAAGTAACCTGGTTGCCTTAAAATTTTAAGTTCATTGAAATGGAAAAATTGAGTTAATACGATGAAGGAGATTAATTTAATCACCAGAAACTCAAAATATTATGTTATCTGAACTACATAAATTATCTAAGTTGATTTGACAAAAGAAAAAAATGTTGTGGTTACAAATCATGAAAAAAAAAATTACAGTGCAGTTTTCCATAGGAAAAAAGTGGAAAAGCATCATAAATGCAATGTTCTTGTCCCTATAAACTTGTACTGCAAGTAACCTTCTAAATGTCACTTCATGGGTGAATATAAAATGCATTCCTGTCTTTTTCTTTCATGGGAAGGGTGACCTCATGCATTCAATTTGTCAATGCAGAGCACTTAAAGTGATTGGCAAATGCCTAAAGTTGACAAGGCAATATATAATCTAAAACAGTTTTTTATTATGACGAAAAAATGGTTAATGATTATGTTATTGTGATTATTTGTATTATTCACATTCACTGTGAAACAGGTGAACAGGTGTTTTGACAACCATAAAGTGTAATTTTCAAGAGATTTCAAAAGTTTGGGGTCGGCAAGATTTTTGATGCTTTTGAAAGAGGCTGCATCTCAAATACAGTAAATGAATTATTATTACAATTTAAAATAACTGTTTTCTATTTGAATATAATTTAAAATGTAATTTATTCCTGATGCCAAAAAAGAATTTTCAGCATTCTTCTGTCACATGACCCTTCAGAAATCTATTTTAATGCTGATTTACTAACATTTCTTAAAATTTTTAATGTTGAAAACAGTTCTGCTGCTTAATCTTTTTGTGGGATTTTAACATTAGGCCTATTTTTACTCAGTTTAATGCATGCTGAATAGAAGTATTAATTTGAATACAAAAAAGTGTGAAAGATTATGTATGTGTATTGTTAATTTTAACAGCATTCTTTGATGTTTTTTTTACCAAATGCAATTACATTAAAGGACTAGTTCACTTTTAAAAAAAATTTTTGCTGATTATTTACTCCCCCATGTCATCCAAGATATCCATGTCATTCTTTCTTCAGTCGAAAAGAAATTAAGGTTTTTGATGAAAACATTCCAGGATTTTTCTATAACAGACTTCAGTGGGAACCAAACGGTTCAAGGTCCAAAAGACAGTTTCAGTGCAAACTGAAAACTGTTCAAAGGGCTTTAAACGATTCAAGACGATGAATAAGGGTCTTATCAAGCGAAACGATCGCTCATTTAAAAAAAAAAAAAACGTTTTATAAGCTCAAATGGTCGCCTTGCTCTGTTCTGTGATGCACGTTCGTGACTCTCCTGTTCAAACTCAAAATGAACAAATCTTTTTTCATGTAATTTGATTCAACAAACAAAATGAATGAATTGACTCAGAAAAAGATTCATTCATTTTGATGAACGAGTTTGAAATAAAATTAAATAAAATTTTAAATAAATTAAATATTTTAATTATTTTTTTAATTAAATAAAATTATTATTTATTTATTTTAAATGAGCGACCGTTTCGCTTGATAAGACCCTTATTCATCGTCTGAAATCGTTTAAAGCCCTTTCAAGAGTTTGCAGTTTGCACTGAAACTGTCTTTTGGACCTTGAACCGTTTGGTTCCCATTGAAGTCCATTATATGGAGAAAAATCCTGCAATGTTTTCATCAAAAACCTTAATTTCTTTTCGACTGAAGAAAGAAAGACATGGACATCTTGGATGACATGGGGGTGAGTAAATTATCAGCGAAAGTTTTTTTTAAAGTGAACTACTCCTTTAATTTAACTACTTTAGATGTGACTGAAAGTATCCAAAATCATCGCATTGTTGTGAGGCCACTGTCCATCCGAGGTTAATGTGGGTGTGTTGTACCTGTAAAGGGCAAGCCCAGTCAGAACCATAGATTCTGAATCAGCACTTCCTCTTAAAAAGAGGCTTCGACGCCTAAGTCATGAGGGGTGAAGATCAATCCATCTTTCATTATGCAGGTCTGATAGCATCTGTCACAGGAAGCTTGCAACGTTAGCGGGAGGATCACCTGCTAAGCACTGGCAGAGGCGCGTTTCACACCGGCACCTCCAGTTAATCGCTCCTCTCTCCGGCTAGGGACGTGGGATGTTTTGATGGAAAAAGGCTGCTTGTGATGCACAGGGCTTTCACCGTCTTGCTGCAGTTCCCGTGGCTAACACTCTGACAGGCGCTGGGCGAGCAGGAAGAGACGCCTGGAGAATCAGGGATGCTCATAGTGGGTTAATCATTCACATCCTCCACAACTGGCCCACGTCAACTTCCAAATCGGCACAATTGCTCGGCTCCATCCGCGGACCCTTTCCAGGTATTTACATCGCATTTGTTAAGGCTTTTGGAGGTGCGCGGTCACGTGCGGGCGCTGTCCAGCGACGGTGGTGCTGAAAACGGCTTGTGTAGATACTGCCGAGCCTTTGCGGCGGAGGTTCAAGTAAGGTAATGCACCAAGACTACTGAGGTCGAAACGACTGCTCACGCAAAACACTTTGTAGAGATCCTAGCGAGCTTGGGCCGTGTGACTACCGTCCTGCACTGGATTAAGGGAGTCATTGGTCGATAAGTCCAAAGTTACCTTCTGGATCTCTGACCCCCGGAAGTTGATAGGTATATTTTTTATCTAAAATACGCACGGTGGTGATAGACAGTGACGCAAATGAATTGAATTAGCTCAGCACTATGGGTTTGCTAGTATGACAGGCTAATTGTCGCTATCGGCGTCAGTTGCACGGAGGGATTTGATGATCTGTCACTGTGGAAGATGTGAGTGACATTTGCTCTATTATTTTTAGTCAAAGACCAGCGATGAAAGAAATTACATGCGAACCCGGTTTAACATTGCACCTTGTGAGCTGAAGGACAAAACGTTCCGATCAAGTGCATGCTTTGAGCTGCAATTTTGCTATACTATTATTAGTGTTGTTTAGTCGCGTAAAATGGGTTATTGTGTTAATGGTTAAAGGATTTTAAGCGTTTCATTTATCGTCGTCATTATCATTATTGAAACCAATCTTTATTTTAATTACAGATCTGGCTGTAAAACGATATCTGGTCTCACATATTTGAAAGGACACGGACAAGAACACTTGAAAAGCCATCATGAATTTCCTGATGAAGGCAGCTTTGGGAGGTGAGTGCATATTCCCATTAGAAGATTAAAGTTGCAATGAAAGACTTGAAGTGCTGTAGTGCTGCAGCAGCGGTCACGTGCGCGCTCCCTGAAAGTCGTTCGCTATTCAGCTTTACGCACCAGAGAGAAGGTTATGCTACTGTGTGTTACCGAAGCAACACTAGTCGGCGTTGGGCTTCTCTTGCCCGTGTCAGAGACACACTGTATACATTTGCTTGGAGGACACTGTCCCGTACAGCATGCCATTTGCATTATTCAGCATCAGCATTATTAGGCGCTTTCTACGAATGGGGTAAAAAAGTCCTGAGATGTTTTTTTTTCTACCTTTTGAAGAAATTGGAGGAGGAAGGAGGTTCTTAACCTTCAGAAAACCTTCATTTTCTATTCAGTTATTGTCTATATTAATGAAAGATCAAAATTACTTAGCCATTGTTTATTTTAATTGAATAAAATTGGTCTAAGAGTTACAAATTTAGTCAAGCTAATTTTGAAACATATGGGATTTTTCATACATTAATAAAAATATTAGATTTTTTTCTGGTAATGGTTGAATTGTTAAAGTGGTAGTTCAATAATAATGTCAATAATTACTCAGGCTTATGTCTTCGGAACACAAATGAAGATCTTTAAGATGAAATCTGAGAGCTTTCTGCCCCTCCAGTCATAGTTACGCAACTAGCCTACCACTTTTATAAAAAAAATAACTTCCCCTCTCTTTGATAAAATCTCTTCTCTGATGACGTGCTACTGGCGTGAGGGCGGGACAACCTGTCACTCACATGAAATCACAGCAATAGCCAACCACAACCATCCAATCAATTCCCGATGGACACAATCAAGTCCCACCCAACATTTGTTCTTGTTTGAGAAGCCGTTTCATTCGGAAATCCACAATATGGAAGAAAAGACTATCGCAACTTCTGCTTCATGATGACTTTAGGTCTCTAACTTACCGTGTATTTCTGGAAGGTGCCTTAGGATTCATACCATAAAAAACCCCAAATGTGAATATAGAGGCAGGGCTCTGTTCATATAATAATGGACCATCTCTCACCTTCAACATGCTTAATGTGAAAGCTTGTTTGTGCGGAGTGATGTGGATGCCCAAATGGCCATGCAGTTGAAATATTTGCTTCAGCGCTTTCAGACGCGAGCTGGAGTGTGTTTATAGTATAAAAGAGCTGATGTCACTGCTGGAGCAAGGCCACAGAGCAGCTGACAGCAGCAGAGGACAGTGTGAAGAGCACCAGCTGCCCTCACTGTTCACAAGACTAAATATTTCAGTCTCAGAGCAGTATGTTAGGGACAGTGAGTCTTCAATCACAGCTTTGTTTCAACGTTTAAGAAGGAGAACCATTTCGATGCCATCTGTCGAGAGGTACAAATGCGGAAGAAAGCACATGCAACACCATATGTTAACACTTTAAAGTGAATCAGACTGGTGAATTTTTGTCTAGATGGTTGCTGTTGCTCATTTTTTTTATATGCTCTATTTTTAAAGCAAAAATTCCCCCACCAAAAAAATAGTGCCACCTATCCACAAGTTTCCTACGCCCCATGAGGCCTTGCGTACGTGGGCGCGTCTTCCGGTTTGAAGTAAACAAAGCACGACTTGACCACTTGACATGCTTGACACTCGTTCATTCAACAGTTGACAGTCATTCAAGTTATAGCGATCCAAACTAGCTAACAATGTGGGAACACAACCTCAACGAAATTTAAAAGGGTGAAATAACAGTACCTTTACCCTCCGCAGTAGTTGGGAGTATTATAATAATATTATTAATAATCAATGCTCATCAAGGCATGGTGACAGACAGTTGTGTGAGCTGACAAACAATTAAAATAAAAAATGCACACTTAGTCATTGTGCTTTGGAGTTTATTCAAAATTATAAATGAATGTGCAACTGGAATACATTAACTGGCACATTTGGTATTCTGTCAACACAGGCTTTGATCCTGAGTTTAGGTGTAACATCAGTAGCGAACAGCCAATCACATGTGCTGATAGAGTTTATAGAATATTAAGAATTTAAACAAAGGAAGATTCGTCGTCTTTTGGGAGGTGATGGAAACTACAGTCGTTGGCAGGATCACTCTGATTTCGTTTTCGGCTTATGTTCAAAACAATCACGTTTAAGCCACTTAATTAGTTTAGTCCGGTTATTCGTACAACCGCGAACAGCACATGTTGTCCATGAGCTTTGTAACGTCATCTCTCATAAAGATTTGCGCCTTTAAATAGTAAAATAATTCTCCGAAAAACAGCTAGCCTCTTCGCTAACTAACACACAAAATACCATTGGAATGCTACTTCCGCGCCTTACCGGAAGTTTCACCCACTTTATTTTTTACAGGAGCGCCTCCCGGAAACTAGTGGATAGGCAGAAGGTCAATCAGCGGAATTTCAAATATTAAGTTCATTGTTCACAAAGTTCATTGTCTCACAATAACGGTTTAAATATTATCAGTGGCACGTATTGCTTGCTGACATTGAAATAATCTGGAATAACACATAATACATTATAATCTACACCTAATCAATGTCTTTCGAAAGTTGGTCCACCAATTGTTATTTGATCTCAAAATAGTACAAAAATATAAAAAAATACTGTATTTGGTTAACATTAGGGTCTATTCAAATATTGCGCACTCAAGTTCGTTATTTCAGATGTAGGAGCGCGGTATGCGCGCTCATTATTGGGAGTGAGCGCGGTTGCGGTGCGACGCGCTCGTTTTTTTCCAAGCGCTTCCGCGCCGCATCGAGATAAAAACATCTCAACTTTTCAGAATGCCGCAAAGGCACCATAAGCGCACAGTAGGTCACGTGACAAGAACCAACCGGAGCGCAAATGGAAAAAGGAGAATGGGGCGCGCCCAGCGTTCTATGCGTTTTTAGGCGCTATATGTGAATCCTGACTATTAGGATAAAAGATACTTGGAAAGTTTTCAGGCAATCCAGCCATGGCGTTACAATATTTTCTTCCCTGTTTTGTTTGTGTTTGGACATCTTGTTCTTGTAGCCACAGGCTTCCATCCCATTCATTATGCGTTTACTCCTTCTCCCTTGATTTTGCACTAGTTAGAACATTCTTCGCCTTGTCTTATAATGCTCTGATGATGAACAGTTTGTGTTTCAGTGGGTGGTGAGAGCCAGACCACAGAAATTGATCTGAGTGTGTGAGAGAGAGAGAGTTGATACATAGCACTCCCACTCTTCTTCACATCACACAAAGCCAGATTATTGCCGCATATATCCTCGTTTCACATTTCAGACTTTGCTGAAGAAGTCTTGGGAGATCTGAAAGGAATGTTCTCCGAGTACTACTGTAGAGGCAAGGTGACATTCCCTCTGTATATTTTTGGAAGTGTGTCGAGGCCTCCCCGGGACAGAGGCAGTGGTACTGTGACCAGTCCATAAATTATTCCTGTTCCTGCTAGGATGCTCTACAGTGTTACCTTTTAATTTCACAGACAGTACCTCATTCTGTGGTTGGATAGATTCTTCATCCTATATTTTTCTCTGATGCTGTGGAATGTGTATGTGTGCTCTGGTGAATATATTATTTATATGGTCCCTTTTTGCTGAGTCTGTTGGGATTTTTTGGCTTCGTCATCATTTTTTGTTTTCTCTAGATAAAGTGGGATGGTGTTTTTCAGTTTTAGGGGGTAACAGTTTAGGACCCAAGGACCAGATGTTTGAAAACCCCAGAGTCAGAATAATAAATTGAAGAAAAGTTTTACTGAAGACAGTTTGCAGTTTCATCAGCAGAAGTCAGCTTCAAGACTCACACGGGAGTTTGTAGGCCGCCATGCTTAAAGTTACCCTAAAAGTTAAACCCTACACCGAGGTCTAAGCTACGTCCTTGCTTCAGGTTGCAGTTTCTGATTGGCTAAGAAATAGATTAACATAGTAATTTTCCACACATATACAGATAGACGGAAGCAGATGTCCATTGATTATGTGGCTGACACTCGGACCCTGAAGTTAGGCACGTCGTGACCTTCCAGGTCGCAGATTTGGATTGCTGGATGCCAGCATGTCCAAAGAAATGGTCCATATGGCTTCAATGACCCCAATATGTTTAACATGTTGAAGACCTTTTTCAAACTCAAAACAAGCCTCCGTTTCATTTCTGGAAGCTGGGCTAAATGAGCAAGCACTGTTATTTACTGTAATCACCAATCAAAGGTTTTTGGGTCAGCAATAGGGGTGTAACGATACCCTCATGTCACGATTCGATACATATCACGATACTGAACTCACGATACGATATTATTGCGATACTCCAAGACATATGATAAAAGGTTAACAAAAAATATACTGTTGATTACAATGCTAAATTGGAAAATTTGTAAATGAATAGGCTTGGACTTGGTGCTTGTAAGCCAAGGATAATGGTGACACCAGAACAACAATATTCATGATTTATGAAGCTGAAAATACAGAATTACTTTAGATGAATATGCTTGCACTCTTTCACTGACTAGATATATTTAAAATAATGTTGGCCACTTTTTACTGGTAAAATAAGGCATTATTAGAACCCACAAATATTCTCCCATTGCATTATTATACATTATAATTAGGGCTGTCAAACGATTAATTGCATCCAAAATAAAAGTTTGTGTTTACATAATATATGTGGGTGCACTGTGTATAATTATATATATATATATATATATATATATATATATATATACACATGCATATATTTAAGAAATATTTTCATGTATTTACTGTACAGTATATAGATTTATATATAATTTATATTATATGTAAATATAAATATTTTATATATAAATAATATATTTTTCTTAAAAATATACAGGCATGTGTGTGTATTTATATATAAAAAAATATTATACACAGTGCACCCACATATCTCATGTAAACACAAACTTTTATTTTGAATGCGATTAATCGTTTGACAGCCTTAATTATAATCAACATTATATATAGTAGTCTAATATAGTACTGACCTCTATGGTACGGACACTAAAACTCTGAAAAAATAAAAAAAAATTCTCACACAGTAATTTTTATTTTGGGGAACTATCCACGATACTTATTGTTGCATTGTTGTATTGTGATATATTGTGGCACGATATATTGTTACACCCCTAGTCAGCAAGATTTTTTTTTTATGTTTGTCTTGGAAAGAAATGAATTGTATTCAGCAACGATGCATTAATCTGACAGTAAATACATTTATAATGTTCATTATTTCAAATGAGGTAATTACTTTCTTTTGAACTTTCTATTCATAAACCAATCCTGAAAAAAAAGTATTACGGTTTCCACAAAACTATACAAGCTGCACAACTGTTTTAATAATCGATAATACTAAGATATGTTTTTTTTTCATTCGAATGATTTCTGAAAAATCATGTGACAAAAGACTGGAGTGACTTCTCAAGAACTTTTGAATGGTAGATCTACTGCTAGTTCTAAATTATAGGCTATTAAAAAAAACAATATACATTTTAATTTGTAACACAACTCAACTCTTATCTGTTTGCAGGAGGCCCCCCTGATGTTGGTAAAATGCTGGGAGGAGAGGAGGACAAAGACCCTGAAGCAGAAAAAGAGAAGGAAGAGGAGCGACAGGAAGCTCTTAGACAGGAGGAGGACGAGAGGAAGGCCAAACACGCCAAGATGGAAGCAGAGCGGGAAGTCATAAGACAGGGCATCAGAGACAAGGTTAGAGCAACGAGTAGAACATCTTACATAAAGCCATCATTATCAAATGCTATCTAGTTTCATTTGCTTCTTGGAAGTTAATCATCAGCCATCCGTAATGTTTCGACTCAAGTCATTAGTTTTTATCTTATTAAATGGACAGTTCACCCAAAAATCATCATGTCTTTCCAAACCTGTGCATCCTTCTTTCTTCTGTGGAACATAAATATAATTTTAAAGAATGTTGGTAACCAAACAGTTTTAGTTCCCATTGACATTAGCAGACTGTTTACACATGGTATTAAAGCGATAGTTCACTTTAAAAATTACATTTTGGTATTCTTTAGTTTACCACAAGGGGATCCAAGATGTAGGTGTCTTTGTTTCCGCAGTAGTTTCAATTTTGATATTTTTAGGTCAAACCGTTCTTGTCTGTCAGTCATATAATGGAGCTCTATGGTCACCACCTCAAAGAGCATGCACAGAGAAGTCCAAATTAAACATGATTTAATGACTCGTAAATGTAACTACACATTGATGGCCTAAGACACGAAGCGACCGGATAATGTGAGAAAACAAACAGTATTTATATCGTTTTCACCTCGTTACCACAGCCACAAAGCGCCGGCGCCTTCAGATCAGTTGGACGTTTTCTCACACAAACCGTTCGCTTCGTGTCTTAGGCCATCAATGTGTACTTACATTTACGAGTCATTAAATCATGTTTAATTTGGACTTCTCTATGCATGCTCTTTGAGGTGGTGACCATAGACCTCCATTATATGACTGACAGACACAAACGGTTTGACCTTTCTCCGATGGACCAAAACGCATCTTAATATCAGGTGTAAACCGGGCCTAAATGGACAACAAATTCAATGGAAGTCAATGGGAACCAAAACCGTTTGGTCATCAACATTCTTCAAAACATCTGTTATGTTCCACAGAAGACAGAAATTAATGAAGTTTTGTAAGTGGAGCAACATGAAGGTGAGCCAAAGTTTTGTTTGGCAATATCTTGCTAAACTTATATTTGTATGTTATACCATGATATTAGTACCGTGTAAATAACATGGTATTTTGAGTATGATAATCATTCAGTTCCACATAAGATTCAAAGGTTTGGCCACATTAACTTGCATGTTTGAAATGAGAGTTTCTGTATCTGTAAGCACTTCTATGGCCTAGGGAATGTTTTTTTTTATTATACAAATATTTGTAACATTTAATGTCATGCTCTATGGTTGTGTATCAGTACGGCATTAAAAAGCGAGAAGTGGCCGAAGCCGAGGCGCAGGCGGCCATGGAGCAGGCGAGCGAAGGCAGTCTGACCCGTCCAAAGAAAGCAGTACCGTCCGGCTGCGGAGACGACGACGAGGAGGAAAACATCATGGACACGATGATGAAGTATCTACCTGCAGGACTGCAGGACATGCTCAAGAAGTAACACCCTGATAAATCTTGAGCACACGCAGCTTTAGATATTATTTTAACGTGTACTGACTTCAGAGGGAAGAGAGCACACTAGAGCAAAACACCATTACCTTTCACACATTTCGATTCGTGAGGATCTTTAGATATTAGTGACCGATCAATCAAGCGAGAGGGGTTAATTATCAGAATATAAGCCATATTTTATCTTTACGCGGAAACCTGAAATCATCAACATCATCTCTTTGGCAATTTATTATCCAATACGTAAAAAGCAATATATATATGCATGAACTGTCGAGTGTCTGTTCCACCTGTCCGTGTTCATTTAGCGTTCGATATGAGGAAAAGGTATCGTTAACTTTGTTGAAGACATTCTAGTCTTGCATGTGTGTGTCCATAGTGTTCGTGTGCTCACTGACATCTTGTTTTGAGATTGCAATCAGATAAAGAAGGCAATAACACTGTAAGCTAAAAGACAACAACCTTTATACATTTGTCACTATGCCATTTAGTTCATTCTGGTGAATCTTGTCACACTTGCACTGTAGTATCATCAGTCTGGAACATGTAATGCCTCAATTGAGTTTAACAGTGTTGTCGAGATATGCGTTTTCACATCGTCATCGCGCTTTACGTCAGATTTACGACTGAAACTCAGTTTCACAGGGACACTCTATGTGTTTTGAATGGACTGTAATTTCTCTGGTTGGAGCCATGGGGAAATTGTCTGTGACCTACAACATTCTCAGCAATAATAACATATTCTGTTTGCTTGGCTTGCAGTTAAACAAGAAATAAAATCGTATGAATTGGATGAATGGCTCTAATGTTTTAAAAAACGATTAAATGTGATATGTCTGTCTCAAGATTTGATGTGTATGGCACTACAATAAAACAGTCACACAAATCTAGTGTTTGTCTCTCAATACTGAAAACTCAATTTAATGTAACTTGGGATATTGAAATTTTAAGAGGAAATGTGTAGTTAGCATGATGTATGTTTGATTTTATGAACAGATATTAGGCAAATTGAGGGACTGTAATATATATACACCGATCAAAAGTTCGGTGTTTCGGATTTTTTTCGAAAAAAAATTAATACTTCAGCAAGAATGCTTTAAACTAGGGCTGTCAAACGATTAATCGCGATTAATCGCATCCAAAATAAAAGTTTGTGTTTACATAATATATGTGGGTGTACTGTGTATAATTATATATATATATATAAAAATACTGACACAGGCTTGTATATATTTAAGAAAAAAATATTTATATATAAAATATTTATATTTATATATAAAATAAATTATATATAAATGTATTTACAGTGTATACATGAAAATATTTCTTAAATATATATATATATTATAATTATACACAGTGCACATATATTATGTAAACACAAACTTTTATTTTGGATGCGATTAATCGCGATTAATCATTTGACAGCCCTAGTTTAAAGCATTCTTGCTGAATACAAGTATTCATTTCTTTCGAAAAAAAATCTGAAACATCGAACTTTTGATCAGTGTATATTACAGTCTCTCAATTTGCCTAATATCTTAAGTAATCATTATGTAAACAGAAACTTTTATTTTGGATGCGATTAATTGTGATTAATCGTTTGACAGTCCTACTTTAAACTGATAGAAAGTCGAAGAAAATTAAAAGCAATAAATCTAATAGAATGATTTCTGAAGGATCATGTGACCCTGAAAAATATATTAAAATAGAAATCAGCTATTTTAAATTGTAATCATATTTTACAATATTACTGTTTTACTATATTTTCAGCTATTGTGCGACTTCTTTCAAAAACATTAAAAGAAATCTTACTGACTCCAAACTATCAAATAGTAGTGTATGTGCTTGCATGTTAATCTAAATTTCACACTGCTGTAAACTAAAATTGACATTAAACAAATCACATTATAAACTTTTGAAGAAATCACAAAAAACACAGTCTCAAATGATACCAACACAGATTCTTTGTATCTAAAATGTGCAGCCACCATTAATACACTAAACCATAAAGTGGCACTGTTCGTCAAACTTTTATGAGCATAAATATTTAACTAGCATTCCCGGTATGCACGTGATCATTGAAAAAAAAAAACCTTTCTGCTGAGGGCAACATTTCAACGCAACTTTTTTCAATCTTTATTTACTCAATAAACCACATACAGTAAGGTGCACTAACAAAATGTACATTATGTGCACCAGCCCAGGCACTCTATGGCAATCATTATGGGCCTGCTTCCAAACACGGGACAAGACAATCAACAGTGAATTTTCCCTTTTTGGTTCTGAACAAGACAAAGTCCTATAAACGTTCTGTCCTTTAAACAGTAGGAAAATGTTTACATCCATAAAACATACAGACTTTTACTGTGCCGGGAGAGTGCAAAATGAGTAAGGCCTGATCACGAACAAATATATGAGAAAAACACAAAAACACACACACATGCCCTGCTAAATCACTGCACAAGCAAGATTGCAAATGCCTAGTCTCACGAAAACTGCCAAGAAATGACCAGGTCAACTTTTATCTCAAAAACAAGTTAAAGGAGTAGTTCACTTTAAAAAAAACTTTTGCTGATAATTTACTCACCCCCATGTCATCCAAGATATCCAAGTCTTTCTTTCTTTAATCGAAAAGAAATTAAGGTTTTTGATGAAAACATTCAGGGATTTTCTCCATATAATGGACTTCAATGGGAACCAAATGGTTCAAGGTCCAAATAACAGTTTCAGTGCAGCTACAAGGGGCTTCTAAACGACACTAGAAGATGAATAAGGGTCTTATCTTGTGAAATGATCGGCCATTTCAAAAAAGATTTGTTCATTTTGATGAACGCGCGAGTCACGAAGGGACATCACAGAACAGAGCAAGGCGAGCAATTGTGATTATAAAACGTAAACTTTTTCATTTATTTTGTAAATGACCGACCGATTCGCTAGATGAGACCCTTAATCATCGTCTGGTGTCAGTTAATGCCCTATGAAGCTTCACTGAAACGGTTTTTTGGACCTTGAACCGTTTGGTTCCCATTGAAGTCCATTATATGGAGAAAAATCCTGGAATGTTTTCATCAAAAACCTTAATTTCTTTTCGATTAAAGAAAGAAAGACTTGGACATCTTGGATGACACCTTTTATTTACAGTAAAAACATTACTATAATGAGAATTCAGGAGAAAATTACTGCACATCCATCTGGAACTGTTCGCGTGTCAGTCAAAAATGACTGATTTATTGTTAAAATTATTATTTCAATGAAATGATTGTACTATATTCTAGTTTTTAATTTTTATTTAAGTTTTATTTTATTTTTTATTTAATATTTTTAGAGGTTTTTTATGGTACTAAATTATATATATGCAGTAGTTATAATTAATTTATTCATTTTTTGAGCATGGACCTGAAAATTTAATTTCCAACTTAAACAGTCATAAATATTCAATGCTTTGGAGCTCAGCCTCAGACTTAAGTTTGGTCTCTTTTTAAAAATACCATTTTAAATTTGTTATATGAAATATTTTCCAAAACATTCTAAAACTGTGAGAAAAATCCAGTTAGCTTTCGGTAAGAATTTGTTTGTTCTCAATAACAACATTTCCATTAGATGAAATTCGTCTCACATTTAATTCCAAAGCGGTCATTTTTGACCGCAAACAATACAAGTGTGGCTATTTTTTTCAGGACCATTTAACTTCTTTGAATAGTGTCCAGATTTTTTTTGGTGTGTGTGTGTTCAGACAACAAATGCAAAAACCTTTTTCCATGTTTCATACCATTCTAATAAAGTGTAAAAAAAAAAACAACACGTTACTTCGTGAGAGCAGGCATAGACAGTAATACTTATAGTTTTATGACAAATTTTCTATTGTGTGTTATGATCCTCACTCGAGAGTAAAAAGCATTTGAGGAACACTTACAGGGAACACCGTCTACATGTCCATCAAATTAATTTTATAATAAGTGGTTATCATAGAGAGAGACTGTTAGTATATTAAAAGAGAGATATTATTGCTAATTGTAGAAAATTAAATACTTGTCCTGAACATGAAAGATGTTTTCTCGCATCAAACAAAAATGATAAAATCTATAAATAATTTCATAAAGGTGGAGCAGTGCCTATACATAGAGCTTAGACGTTGTGCTGCTTTCAGCTGACCAATAAAAGTACATTCATTATTCATACTGACTTAATTTTCAATGCGAGTTGGTGATTTGAGGTGACAAATATGGACCAACAATGCACTTCCAATGGTATTCGCCGCATAGTGGAGCTCACATGATTCTAGAGTCAAATGCGCATACTAGAAACCACAATACAGTGACTTTCCAACAATTCATTTGTAGAGCAACAAATTAACCAGTTTAAAATTTAAAGAGAGAAAACATGTCAATTACAGCATATCCCAAATGAAAATTCACTTCTATGCGACGTGCGTGAGGACTACCACTATAGTGAGACTCAAACTGTCCCGGAGAAGGCAAACCACAGCTACAATCAGTCAAGTTGAAGGTTTGATGCTCTTGGTGTGCATCCAAACACAGCAATATGCCAGCCTTTAAGGTCAAACTGTTTACAGCAAGAAAATTATTTCAGCTGAGAACATTGTGATTAACCGAGCGCCATTTTCATCTAATCAACAAGTAGGTGATTTTTCCCAACTAATGTTATGGCAGGTAGTTTACACATTTATAAAACGCTCTGCCATGAGTAACTGTGTCTGGTAACCATAGTACAGAGTAGTGTGGTACCTTTGGGTTTTTGGGGCTTTGAATTAAACATGTTTTCTTTAGATGGCCCTGTGGGTTTGGGTTACCTGTAAAAGGGACAGAAATGGGGGGAGGATATATGGGTTGAGATGGGGTGCGATATGATGTGATGTACAGTATACTGGTGCAGGTCCCAGGCCATAGAGTGTTCTCCCACTGCTGCTGCTGCTACACGTTTGTCCGACATTTAGGAAAGATGGGCCCTCCTTCAAGCCTTCTCTTTCTTACTGCACACACAAACAAAAAAGGGTTGAGGACATAGGAATTATGCTTTCATTATAACAGCCTACAAAGGGTTCAATAATAAAGATTTGATGTTCTGCTTTGTTTTTACTTTTAGGGCTTTTACTTGCCCTTTCAGAATTTTCACTAGCCTCACATCATTTCTTTAAATTCTTAATGTTTTTTATACAAGTAAATAATTTAAAAACATTTAAGAAATGTCAAATATTTTCTAAACATTTAACATAAAATGAAAGAATGTGCTATACTAACTGCCTTATAAAAACATAATGTAGCTGCATTAATGCTATGAATTCATACATGCATTTTTTTTTTTTGCTGGAAAACAATACATTTCTGATTTATTTTAGACTATTAAAAGGACATTCTTCCAATTTCTCATAACAACTTTATGGTAGACATTGGGAAATCCTTATTGCATTTGTAGATAGCACAGACAGAAATTGGAAATTGCAATTAAAGGAATAGTTCACTCATTTAAAAAGAGCAATTTGTATGGCTTCAAATGGCTTTCAATATAGCGTGGGTCAAATGGCCTACTTTTATGGTGCTTTTTAGAGCTCAAAAGCTCCAGTCCCCAATCAGTTGAGGCATTCTGTTAATTCTCCTTCTTTTAAAGAAAGCCATATGCGTTTGGAAAAATAATCATAATTTGGGGAGAACTATTCCTTAAAGAAAAAGCTCTGCATGCACAGCAAGCCAGAGGCCATTTTCAATAATGTTTATGTAGATTTGGCATCAGAATACTCTCTCTATGCAGAAGAAAGAAAAGACTAAACCTGAAAACCTAAAGACAAGCCAACAACAACAGCACAGACAAACAAAACAATCAAGAAACAAGCAGATAATGATTTCAGGTTTTGAATTCACTTTGATGGAGGGAAATGCAGTAGTGGAGATGCTGAAGCGGCATAAGGGAGCTTGAGGAAAAGTTCATAACGATCCATAGACTTGAGGAATTGCGAAAAGGCTTAAATAAGAGCAAAAAGACAGCAGGTAGTGCCCTGAGTGAGAGAAGGAGGGCAAGACTCTGTTTACTTGGATTTTGATGTGAACTTGAACTTTTTACAGAAGGCTCTTTCCAGCTCAGGGACCGACAGAGTGAATGTGATCGCGCCATCTGTGTCCGACCGAACTACACGTGCTGTAAATACATACATGGCATGAACACACCAATACTTACAATACCATTCCATTTGGGCCAGTATGACGATTTTTAAAAGACATTAATACTTTTATCAAGGAAGACTGCATTGATAAAAAAATTGACATTTTAAATTTCAAATAAATGCTGTTCTTTTTTCTATTCTTTTATCAACATTAAAGGGTTAGTTCACCCAAAAATTCTGTCAGTATTTACTTACCGTCCAGCCCCGTAAGACCTTCGTTCATCTTCGGAAAACAAATTAAGATATTTTTCAATAAATCTGAGAGCTGGATCACTCCTCCATATTAGTCCATAGGCTTCTTCAGGGATTGAAACTTGCCAGCCTGGAAAGTTACTAAAGACATCGTTAAAATAGTCCAAGTGACTTCAGTGGCTCAATCTTAACTTTATCAAGTGACGAGAATACTTTTTGTGGGCAAAAACACACAAAAATAACGACTTTATTTCAACTATTAATTTCCTTCTCTTTGGGCCTCTAGTCAGTTAACATAGTGTGATAGCGTAGAGTCACACACGATTAAACTAGTGAACTGACTCGAGGCCCACAGAGAAGGAAATGAATAGTTGAAATAAAGTCGTTATTTTGGGGGGGTTTCGCACAAAAAGTGTTCTCGTCGTTTGATAAAGTTAAAATTGAGCCACTGTAGTCACTTGGACTATTTTAACAATGTCTTTAATAACTTTGAGGCCTTTCAATCCCTGAAGAAGCCTATGGACTAGTATGCAGGAGAGATCCAGCTCTCAGATTTCATCAAAAATATGTTAATTTATGTTTAGAAAATGAACGACCGTCTTACAGGGTTGGAACAACATGAGGGTGAGTAAATACTGACAGAATTTTCATTTTTGGGAAACCATCCCTTTAATAATAATATGACATGTTTCTGAAAATTCAACTTTGCCATCAATTGTAATAAGATTTCACAATATTGCTGTTTATACTGCATGTTTGACCAAATAAATGTAGCTTCGGTCAGCATAAGAGAAGCCTGGAAACACTTTTTTAAATGGATTGTACCCATTTCAGCACATCCAGTACAAACACACACACACACACACACACAAAATCAATCAATTTTAATTCTGAAAATACACAGCATGTATTTCTTACCAAGGTCATTGTTGCTCATCATGGCATTAGATCCACGCAAGCGTGGGCCCTGCTGGGTGAAATGGTATCCGAATTTCAACAGAGTAGTGTTCTTCTCCAAAATGTTAGCTATCTCCATCTCAACCTTATTACCCAAAGGCTGGCTCTGTATCACACATACACAGATAATATACATGTAAGATATTAACACAGGATATAATGCAATAACTCTTTTAAACTAGTTCTACCACTTGGCTTCATTTGCCCCTCCATCATCATTACCTTCAGACTGAACCCCTGACCTCATCGATAAGACCTTTATATAACTTAAATCTGTGTGTGTGTGAGCGTACCTGGTTGTCAATCTTTAGCTCCTGCAGTGTAGTGTTGCTCTTTAAGGATTCCACGAGTGCAAGAACTCCAGCTCCAGTAATGAAGTTTGACTCCACATTTAGACTCTTCAAAATGGTGTTCACTTTCAGCATGTCTGCTAGTGCCTGGGAACCAACAACATTAAACGCATCTACACTACCGTTCGAATGTTTGGGCTCAGTAAGATTTTTATGCTCACCAAGACTGCATTTTATCTAAAATATAGTAAAAACTGTAAAATTGTGAAATATTACTACAATGTAAAATGTTTTTTTTTCTATTTTAATATATTTTCAAATTTCAAATTAATCATGTGATGACAAAGCTGAATTAAGCATTATTTCTCCAGACTTCAGTGTCACATGATCCAACTGATTTGGTGCTCAGGTAACGTTTCTTATTATGACCACATTTAAAAATGGCTGTGCTGCTTAATATTTTTGAGAAAATATTTTATATATATATATATATATATATATAAATCTGCATTCTGGATTCAATGTGTGTATATATATATATATATATATATATAATTTTTATTATTATTATTATTATTTAGTATTACAGTAATGTGCTTAATTGTCATGGGTCACAATTCCAGGCTGCATTTTCCTCATGGAAATTATAATTTCTTATTTTAATTATTTTAAAAATCTAAACTTTGAGAATGAGTGTGCTTTTTTAACTCACAAATGCTACAGGATCGTTACTTCTGGTGCCCACGATGCTCAGGCGCTCCACAACACTGTTCCCTTTAAGAGCTTCAGCATACGCTCTCAAAGTCGGGATTGGGATATTCTACATATCACCAGAAAAAAAGAAAAAGGGAACACACAAAAGGTCAAACCATCAAAACGGCATAAAAACAAACTATTTAACAGAAAGCGTAAACAAAGAGTGAAAGTAGCACCTTGATGTTATTTAGGTTGACCTCAATAAGATCTGGATCATTGCTTTTGATTCTCTGTAGTGTTTCCTCTACATCTGTGTCATTGGGCTGTTCATCTGGCACTGGCTTATACTGAGTGCACTGGATTACACCTGTGTTTATAACACAACTCTGAATTACAAATCATGTGGTTCAGTCAGTGCCAGATATATATATAACATAATACTATATCAAACGGCACACACCTATTTAACGTGGTCCCAAGACACATTACAGTTGTATGGGTTTGTACATTTATTTACATTTTACATGCATATTTGGCAGATACTTTTATCCAAACTGACAATGCATTCAAGATTCAAATTGTGTTACATAACTAAATATCAATAACGTTACATAACTAAATATCAAACTAAGTTCTCTCTACCTGAAGAGCAACTGGTTAAAAGTATTTACAGAAATGTCCTTTAAAAAAATGAAAGGTCGAGCATAATTTGTTTATAAATTATACCACATGGTTTAATGTTTTGCATTTGACATACAGGCATGTTTAAAGGTGCAGTGTAAAAAATGTTTGCGATTTTAAGAGAAAGAAATACTGTAAAAAATGCTACAGTAAAACATGTTAATTGGTTGACTATGTTATACCTTACAATACGGAGACAAACTGTAAATGGTTTAACATTACACATTACATATACAGCATAGATATTTTACTTCATATTTGTTATCGGTAATGTACATCAGTGCGTTTTAAACTATATTTTATGTCATTTAGTTTATTGTATTATATTAGCATTACAGTAAGTGTGTTACCCCGATGGTGATTTGTCTTTGCACGTATGACCCTATGTCAAGCATTGACCATGTTTAGGAACGTGCCACTTACAATGAACTATCATGTGGCTTTCAATTGTGCCACCTGTATTATTGTGGTGATTATTGATACATTGGTAAAAAGGTAGATTTTGGTAGTTAAAGTAGGTAAGTTAACATTATATCACTTAATGGTTTTAAGTTGTATGCAGGCATCCCTGTAAACATTTTCACAGTATTTATTTTTTACGGCCAACCACAGCTGCCAGTTATTTGAATTTAACAGGAATTTCTTTATTATCATTATTTGTTTTTACAGTGTGCCTTAAGTTTCCAAGCACTTTCAACCTAACTGTATCCAATATACTATAATATATAACTTGTACTAATATTTAAATTGTATTTTACAGTTACTTCTGATTAAAGAATACAGTGCAAACACAAACCAATACTAATGGCAAAACTTGATTGATCATAAAACAATCAATTAGACAAATATAAAGCTTCAAACCAGACAAAACCATTACAGGATAAGTGCTGTATTTACTTACTGTTCAAACCCTGTTTGTTGACGATAGTACTGCTGGCCAGTGCTTCATAATATTGCTGGTTGCTCATCAGTGTGTGCATGCCCAAGATGGCTGCAGCAAGAGACATTTTTTCAAATTTATATACACGATCCTCTGAATGAAACATCAGTGTTTGCTATTTATGACTTGTTCATGTAAATCAAGTAAAATCATGTTTTCCAAGGTATCAACTGAAAATCATTCACATTTACCTGATGAAAATATCTCAAGCAGAACAGTAATGGCATCAAATTAACTAGATAAAAAATGAAAAAGGACCACAAAACATCTAAATAGCAAGTCGGGAATGTATGCTGTATCTGACAGTTGACAGTGGGCCAAAGACAACTGAACTAACCTCATTCCCATATGAAGCTGTAGTCGGTCTGTACACATAAGATGTTCAGACTGTTAAGCCAACTCTTTAAATCCTGCTGTTTTTGAAACATGATCCCAAAGGGGAAAAAAAACAATTGACCTCATTTTTAGGGAAACCACTCCATCATTTTAAATGGGAGTACAGCAAGTAGCTGACAGTTGAGAGGTCTTTTTTTTTTTTTTTTTTTAGCCGGCAGAAAAAGCTGTTCCCCTTTTTTGGTAGCCAAGTGTCCTTAGTGCACAAGGATGAGTCATTGTTATGAAAGAAAAAGAACTCACACGTCAAGGACAAGTTCACTTAAAAAATAAAAAAGGAATCATTTACCCTGTTGTTCTAAATCTTTATGATTTTGTTTCTTCGTGAAACACAAAATAAGACATTTAGAAGAATGTTCATGCTGCCCTTTCCTATACAGCTCAAGTATACAGGAAAGGAAAGGAAAGGAAAGGAAAGGAAAGGAAAGGAAAGGAAAGGAAAGGAAAGGAAAGGAAAGGAGTATGGAACATCATGACTAGTACATAACAGTTTTCATTTTTGGTTAAAGCAACCTTGAAATAACACTTAAATCATCATGCAGATAACAATATGCTGAACATCCCATGCAAATTTTCAGCTAATGTATAAGAAACATTCTGGAAATGTTAGAGCAGCACACAATGTTGCAAATGAACCTACTGGAGTGATCCGTGGCTTAGAAACGGTGGAGCAGGGGTGAGGACAAAGAGAATTAGGAATGAGAGAGGACTAAAGGACAGACCAGACAGAGGCACATTGTGAGATAGACACACACAGAGGAAGTTCAAATTAGTCAATGAAATTACAGATGGATCGATTCATATGAATAAGAATTAATATTAAAATGAGTGAACTGAATTTAATTATGCCTTAATATAGATTAAGTGAGGTTACAAAATAACAGTAAAAACTGGATTCTTTAAACTCCATTACGGATTATGTGCATACCCATATAAAGTCAGAATTATATATTTAAAAATACAATTTTAGAATTTATTTCATAAAATGGTGTCTTGGATTCAAAAAAGCACAGTCTATACAGGAATTAAACTGGTAACATTACACTTTACCTGCTATGTCGCACAATTCTGCATCGGTTGCACTAGATAGCGCCTCTTCTAGTTCAGGCTCCAGAGTGACATCTTCAAGGATAGGGTCCACTTTTGTCTTAGGCTGCCACACCTTTCCTACATACACACGTACAGAAACAGAGAGTGAGGGAAAAATGCCTTTATTTTTGCTAAAATTATGACTGTCCTACTGTACATGTGTCATCATTTCAATGATTTTTGAATCATGATTTTGCCCCAAAAAAACAAATTTCAAAATGTCAGTATACTTTTAAATAAAGGAGATAATACTTTAAGTGAAAAACAAGTTTGATGCATAAATGAGACAGAGACATGGAAAACATTTAAGAGAGATTGGTACTGTAGAAAATGAAGACAATTAAAAGGTACTTGTGAACAGTATTATTGTGCATCATTTCAAGCTGTAATTTCTTCATGTTATGCAAAACAGGTAAAATACAATCTCTAATTTAGATTCATAAAATTGATGTCAAATTTTTATTAGTTAAAGTAGTTTTTTTTAAATGCCATTTCACTACAAAATGTCGAACAAAAAGCTGGAAAAGTCAGTCTAATGGCAATGTTTATAACTTTCAGGTTAAAGAAAAGTTAAAAATTTCATTTGTGATGTACAGTACATGTCACACACTGTTTGGACATTATTAATGGACAAATTACAAACAAATGAAAGCATACAAATAAGTTCACAGGGTCAAAAGTGCCCATGGTTCTAAATGCAGGTCGCTTCTCACCTCTTTTCTCGCCAGTGTAGGGCACAAGATCATCTCGGTCTGGATGTTCTTTGGCTTGTTTCTCCAGGTGAGCTAGAAGATCATCTCTCTGGAACGTTCCGGTTGGAGATTTTTTAGTCTGATCCCTCTGTCTATATCCTGCTGGCAACAGTGCGTTCTGAAAACAATTCATAAAACATTAGTTTTGTCATCAAACTTTCATAAAAAGCACACAAAATTTCCTAAAGAAAATGTGAGTGCTTGCAGTGGCAAAACTCGGCACTCGATTGCTAGGGTGTGGTTACACAGTTACCATGGTGATATTTACAAACTGATTTTCCCAACCGAAACAAACGAGCCCACCTCCATGTCTATCCGATGGTCTAGTGCTGAGATACAGGTTATTCATATGTTTGTACGGTTGCTAGGGTACTCTTTATAGTTATTAGGGTTTGCTTATACAGTTTATGTGTTGATATATAAACACTGTTTGCCAGTCTGGGTCAAAAAAGGCCAAATCTGTGTTTCTACAGTGTTCTGGTGCTGAGATTTTGCTTGTTAATGTTGGTTACTAGGGTCATGTAACTGGTTGCTACAGGCTATAAAGTTGTGTCCCTACTTATTGGCTACTTCATAGGCTGAGTCAAAAGAGCCCAACACCAAGTCTCTCTGTCCTTCTGATCCAAAGACATGATCTTACAAATTTTGTGCTAATGTTAAGTCATTAACAATGTTAATGTTACGGAATTTTTTCGGCCGATTTAATCGCCCGCTTGACGAACATCGTACACCCGATCACTTATAAAAGTCACAGCACACCTCTCCTTAATAAACCGGTCGATTTGACACCTCATTCATGGGTGTCAAATCGAAAATGTCAAACGGTGTGGGTGGAGTAGTTTAAGATTTGACATCATCGATTTGGGTGTCAATTCAAAACGATGTCAAATGGTCCGGGAGGAATAGTTTAAGTAACAATAACAATAGTGGCCTTGCACCACTAATAAAAGAATTTGCCATGTCTTAAAATGTGATGGATTCTAATAACATCACCAAAGTACAGTCAAAGGAGCCAGTTTCCATCAATTTCCATCTTTAGCAACTATTTGATACAGGTTTTATTAGATTTACGAAGTGTGTACCTAACCCAGGTTATCTAACTTTCTGCCCACACACTGAAAAGCCAAACTCCATCAGCGCCTGAAACAGTAAGCAATAATAACATTCTTTTAAGTCAGGGCCTATCAGCCCACATCCACAAAAAAGGGCTGCAGAGATAAAGGGGGTGGGGGAATGTCAACGTATGCGCATGTTAAATGTGATGACAGAATCCAGAACACAGCATTTCAAAGAGAACTCAGGGAGAACAGAACTTTATACGGCACCTAAGTATTGTTTATTTCTAGTGCAGATAAAATTGAGCAAATGGAGACTAATTAATTCTAAAGTGACATTTAAAATCATTAAAGTAGAGATTTCCACGGCTAAATTTACAGCACAATTTAGTGTTTCGGGAAAAGGCTCGACTTTGGTGGAGAATGTTTATTTTTGTTACATTTGAGCAGATTAAATTTTGTTCCAGCACCAGTATTTATGGTAAACTTCTGCACCTCTGGCTCAGTAAAGGAGAAGAAATTCTCTTTTCCCTCTTCTCTGTTGCTGGACATTTATCCTACGCCTGTCTCTAAATCTGTCAAGAAGTGCTTAGATGCTGGAGTGAAACCAGATTCCTGAAGAGCAAATAAAAAAACTGTGGTCTGAGTTAGAAAAAGAACACTATCAACAGAGAAAACCACAGCCTTACGACGACAGTGGATTCCCTAAAAAAACGCTAGTGCAATACAACTCTGCACACTCCAACCACTGTAAAACAACAGTCCTGTCAAACTGAAAAAAACAAAACAAACTCAGAAACATTAAAGTCGAGACAAACAAAAAAATAAATAAATAAATAAAGTGGGCTTCTCAAACAAAAATGGCATTGAAACAACAATGTCCAACACCAAACAAAACATAATGGGCTACAACACAGTCCAGTCAAACAAACACCATTACACAAACAAACAAGTTGAACAAAAACCCCTAAGAAATAATAAAGTCCAGACAAACATACCAGACTAGGTAGCAACACAGTGCACTCAAACAAACACATTATGCATAATAGAAAAGTCTAGCCAAACAAACATGATAAAACACAGGCCAGTCAAACAAAAACACAAAACTAAAGTTTGCTGCTTAACCCTAAAACCGTATTCTGGACAAATGTGGGCAAAATAATTTAAAAAAAAAATACTTCGCTTGATCTGAGAGGTGCAAGACTTGGCTACTTTTCCTAAGTTTGCCTCCTGAACACACACACATTTTTTTTGACTCAATTCTACAATGTTAAGTGAGTGAAAAAAAACTTCTAATCTTGTATTTGGGTCAAAAATGGGCACCCATAGAAATGAATGGGAAAAACTGTAATTTAGAGCATAGTAAAATAAGCCAAAATAAGACACCAGGTGACAGCAAAGTCACTTCATCTTTAGGTTTTAGCTCCAAGAACTTATTGGAATGATATTTTAATGTAGTTAAAAAAATTTAAAAAAACATAAAAATAAGAATAATTTACATAAAAAATATGGCACTTTTTGAAGTAAATAAATTCAAAAATCCCCCCAAAATAAAAAAAAACACTACATATGGATAGACAAAACTTTATCAAAGACAGTGATATAACATTTATAATAAATAAAAAATTAGGATCACACCTGCGTCCTCTGTGCCCACATTTGTCCACAATTACAGGATTAAGGGCTATAATGTGAATACGGTTTGAGGGTTAAACAAAAAATGGCACTGAAAAACAATCGTCAACACCAAATACAACACAGTCCAGTCAAACATATACCATCACACTCACCATCATATACACACACACACAAATAATACTAGGAAACAACACAGTCAAACAAACAGTCAAACAAACTACCTTATACAATAAAAGGGGGGAAAAAAACCCAAAATAAAGTCCAGACAAACAATCACCTCTAGTAAACAACACATTCAAGACAAATAGTTCAGACAAACAAACCAGAAAACAACAGGCCTGTCAAACAAACACCATTATATGTAAAACAGCGTAGTCCAATCAAACCAAATTATAAAACAACAGCCCAATCTAACAAATGCCACAACAAAACACTCCTTTAAAAACAGTCATAGTTTTCAGTGCCAGCTTAAAAGTACACATACAAAAATTTACAGGAGAGAGGATTTGTTATAAAATAAAAACATGATATCAACCTTTTATAAATGCTAAGTATTCAGAGATAACTGAACTGTGCAAGCACATTATGAATTTGTGTGGAATTCGTGCAGTTTTTAAGGTCGAATGTGAGATGCTGAATACGAATGTCACCTTATTTAAATGCACTTACATCAGGATCAAGCTCTTCGAGTTCATCCTCAAGTCTCCTGAGCTCCTCTTCACTGAGCTTCTGCAAGAGCTCATCCTCATCCACATCCCTGTACTTCTCCATCTCTTTACGGAACATGATGAATAAGATAAAAGGGAGGAAGAGGACAGAAGAAAAAGATAGGCAGAACAGTTGAGCCCCCCAATCACAGGACCTTGGTGAAGACAAGATAAGAGACATATCCATTATTAGGCATATTCTAAACTCAAAGTTATGATTGTCAACAGTACATTCAGACCCAAATCTGAAATATTATGGAAATAAGCTGAGCAAATTCAACAATTTCAAATCATATGGAGAGCACAGATGTACTTCATCCTGGGACACGCTGCTAACATTGGACAATCAGAAAAAGCACACATATTTTGTCTTAACTTTGGACAGTCTGCTCTGCTTTTTAAAACTTGAACATTTCGAATGTCTCTGTGCAAAATGTTTAACTTACCCTTGCTTTTTTTTAAATGCATGACAATTTTTATTAAAAAATTTTTACATTATGATCTTAAACAACAGATAGGCCTACATTAAGTCATTTTATAATATATCTAATAAGAAGAAAACTAGTCAAACTGAAGGCTGCCTCTGCTGTTTGGACCATCTCCATTGTCCTTGGTAAATCCAATAGACAAGGACACTGACCAGCAAAACTCCATTACACTATATAATGCAAATTTATTATTAACATACTGCCTGAGAAATCAATAAACTAGTTATTATGTACACATTTCCAGACAGCTCCTCAAACAAATTGCTTTTCCACTTCAGTTATTAAAACTACAATTAATGAAGTCTGAATTGCTGTGTTGCTTCAGATACATACGTAACTTCTGACATTAAAACAATACAAAATACATTTTAAAGCGTAAACTACATTATTAATCAAATTTTCTCCGAGCTTCATCTGTCCTGTTAATATGCGTATTTGTATGATTCATGGCTCTATGCAATGATGAAAACAAAGCGTTAGTGCCGGAGTCTCTATCATTCTCACTTACTTCAGACAGCGCTTATCCCACACTATATATAGCGCATGTGACAGCTGAATACTTTGACCAGATATGGTTTCTTTTCGGAGCCGCTATTTCACACAAATGTGCTGCAGCCTCAAGAAATGATTTCTCAAATCCAAGGTTCATAGAAGAACAACGCTTGACACGGCCTAAAAAGCCTAAATATTAAAAAGTAGTCACTGCTCGAGCCTTCTTTCAACAAAGTCCAGTAGTCGGTGGCGATTTAAGTTTCCACAAACCCGTAGTGCAGATATTCGCCCCGCCCACCGCGTAGACCTGCCAATCACTGACGCCATTCACACAGCCCACCAATCAAGCTGCAGAGACAAATGAGTCACACAAGTGTATCGGGTTGTTGTCTTCTGGTTTAATGGTTCGAACCAAATATTAACTAATTAAACAAACATGAGAACCTAAGTACAAATGTTCTTTAACAATAGGCCATTTTCCTTTCAGAAAACACACAATAAGACCACAGCAAACAAATCAAAGTGCAAAATCAAGAGTAAACAATACAAAGCAGTAGTGTCTCACGCAAAACCAACATAAATAAATCAAAATACTCCTAAGACAAATGGCCCTATGGTAAAGACACAGTAAATGGAAGCGGTTCAGGTCACAACGAGTTAATTTGGCAATGGTATAATATTATTATTTATCACAACAGCAAAAACAGGAAGAAAGATATCCCTTTCCCATGGCACTCGGAACGATAACTAAAACTATTCGGGAACGTGTAAATAAAATGAGCTGACCAAACATACATGGAGTCAATGCTTTTGAATTCTAGATCCAGATTTTTTTTAGGCGCAAGTTTTCAGCATGTTTCTGGGAAAGGGTAGTTGTAACAGTCTCAAGCAGCACTGCTGATCTCATCTGAAAACTCCACCATAATGTTGTGGATCCAGATGTCATTGTCCTCTTGTGTGGTGTCCACCAGGTAGACAGAGATTTTGCGCTCCCAGGGCCACTCCCCCTCCTCAATCGACTCAATCTGGGCCACCAACGGCTTTTTCTCAACATGGTTCCGGAACACCATGGAAGCTTCCTCACACCAGACCCCTTGCTTGACACCTGAAAACAAGTATTTTGCATGTAAATCAGAAGCTTTAACAGACATGCATTAGTTTTAAGTTAACTTGTAATAGGGCTGGGTGATGCATCAGATACTTACAATATATTTTCTATTTTATTAATAACATAAAACATAAAAACTGACATCATTATTGTGATGATTTTAACATTTTTATTTCTTTGTTAAGGCCATTTCAGAGCAAACACAATGCGTTTATTAAATATTATTAAGTCTGAAAAATAATAAAGATATAATTTTGTTTAGCTCCAGCTTCTCTCTTACCAGCCAGCTGAGCAAAAATGCCCTGGAATGGCAGCTGCCTGAACTCATCGATGAGTGGTTGGAACTGGGAATAGTTTATCAACTCGTATTTCCATAATCCAGTTCATACACAGACACTAAGCCATTGGTCAGGACGCTCTTTACCAAAACACGATGCCAACTACAGAGTGAAAGAAAGAAAAAGACAGTAAACTATTTAGTTTGTGTTTTTAGGTGAGGAATTACAAACAGAGGTGCCATTCAGATCTTACTTGTTGTCAATCTTGGCAGCGTAGACGTGATTTTTCTGGAGGTTGATTTGGGTTACTTCCTGTTTGTTGTAGTACAGGATCATCTCTCCCATCAGGACTACTAGCTTGTACAGTTCCTGCCACGGCTGCAGCACAAAGTGCCCAGGGTGACATGCAACCGACACAAACACATCCATGTTTTGCCCGACCAGTGGTAAGTCCATCTGAGGGGGCAATGTGAGGGCCTTTGACTGCGTGCGAGTTGTATTGAGGCTGTCCCCTGCCTCTGGCACGATAGGTTCAGAAACCCTGGCGATCTTGCTGAAGTAGGCATCATGTTGCCAGAATGGACATGAGGCTAGCTGGTGGTTAATGCTGCTCTGAAGGTCATGAGCTCCATTTCCACTGAAGAGGTAGACGTGCACAGTCCTGGTCTCATCAAGCTTGACTATCTAAACACACAACGAACATGCCAATAAATAGACATTGCAATATTTAGTTTTTCTGCAACATGAAAATACAGTAACTTCCTCTAGATGACCAAGTAAATTTTGCATCGCTAATCAATAATTAAAAAAACAATGAATGAATGTGCAAGACCTTCATGCAACTGGGGACTTTGTTGTGGACTGTCTCTCTCAACCACAGAACGGCTTCAGGAGGCCAAACATCCCCGTCTGCATTCAGACCCTCCAGGAGGCACTTTATAGCCTACAGGGGCAGAAATATATAACCATTACTTTCATTCATAAAGCAGAGTAATGCAATTACAGCACTTCCTACGTGCTAAATGAGTTATTTTATTATTCAAAAACAAGGAAAAAAAACCCAAAAACCTCACAGCTTGACTCATGACTTAAATGGGACAATGGCCTCAACAGTTGTACCAATTGATGAGCATGAATGGGGAAAAAAATAACAGATTTGAGTACCTGAGGTGGTATGGTGAGGAGCTCTCTGAGGTAGATTGGTGGGATCTCCCTGAGCTCGCTGACCTCCAGAGAAGCAGGAAGTCCCAGATCCAAAAACTGGATGTCCAACACTTGACTGCCATGAAGTGTAACGATCTAAACGCACATTCATATAACCAATTAAACTAATTTAATTTTCACAAGGGGTGCACAATACTGGGAAAAAAAAAAAAAACGGATATTGCGATATTTAGTTTTTCTAAAACATATAGCGATATAAAAACTCAGGAATTTTTACTTAATGACTTGAATAGCTCTATTTGGAAAGAGTGATTATAAATCTTAAGTATTTACATCTATTTCTTAATTTTCAAAAGTTAAAGCTAAACTTATAAATCCATAAACTTTCTCCTTTGTCGTCAACAGGTTCACAAACGCTTCACATTACAAATCTAGTGAAATTAGTGCCACGCGTGCACTCAAATGCAAACCAAACTCCCAGAAAATACAAAGATGAGGTTTGAGTGGAGCAGCATGCATTGCCAATTTATATGTGCGAGTAGAGTT